TCATGGTCCTGACAAAGTGTTGTTATTTTTCGGGTCAATCAGAAATACAATTTGGCTGCCATGGCCGCTATTTTGCTACTAAGTTCTAATAGGCCGATCTCACTTAAAATTGGTCTAGGAATGATCAGCTCATGGTCCTGACAAAGTTAAGTTAACATTATACTATTTTTTACTCAAATTGGTACATATTTCAACAACAAAAATAAATACTATAGACTCAGGTGACCGTTAAGGCCCATGGGCCTCTTGTTTTATACAATATTTATATTCTACTGGCAATAATCTGTGTAATTATGTAATGATGAAGGTTTTCATTAGAACCATCACGTAGGTATATAATAACTGAATCATGTGTATTCCTCTCATTGGATACCATGATTTATTTGTACAGGGTGCTCTAGTCTAAAACCATAAATTTTTAGTCATTAACTTGTACGGATTTCTATTCAAAACCATTTATTTGTGTACATGCAGATTGGTTTCGTTGAAGAAGAAATAGGTTTTGCGTCCTCCAATATCGCAAGTAAATTTGTTTTCTGGAACCCGTTAATGTGAGGGAGCATGTTAAATGAACAGGTACAGATAGCAGAGGATTCCATCAGTTTTCAATAAAGAGTTCCAAATGAAAACTCACAGCCTGTTAATGTTTAGCTACCGATGTCGACTGATTGTATCCACAGTTTGGAATTAAAAATGTCAACTTATAAAAAAGTACTTAAGACCGTTGGACACAGTTCAATGTTTTGAATTTACATTTATGTGTTTAGAAGGGCGAACTTTTCCTCGTTACTGGCAAGGCGTACACGACATCCCGAGAAATAGAAACAGAAAGAGTTTAAGTAATTAGCACCTTTTAGCTGGAATGTGTTTGGATGATTTTACACTATAACACAATGTTAGCTTTAGTTCTATATAATAATGTATTGGTCCTGTAATTATTGTTACCATCCGACGGGTGCAGCAACTCTCAGTTGAATAGACATTTGTCAATATCTTTTCAATTATTCTCATCAATTTCACAATCCTTTTGTAATTCTTTTAGGCAGAAGTTTGAAAGGATTATGTCCCATTTAGGATTAAGATTGAAAGGATTATGTCCCCTTTAGGATTTAGATTGAAAGGATTTATGATGTCCCATTTAAGATTAAGATTGAAAGGATTATGTCCCATTTAGGATTAAGATTGAAAGGATTATGTCCCCTTTAGGATTAAGATTTAAAGGATTATGTCCCCTTTAAGATTAAGATTGAAAGGATTATGTCCCCTTTAGGATTAAGATTGAAAGGAGTATGTCCCCTTTAGGATTAAGATTGAAAGGATTATGTCCCATTTAGGCAGAAGTTTTAAAGGACTTTGTCCCCCTAAAGGAGGAAGTTGGAAGACATTATGTTCCCTTTAGGTAGAAGTTGAAAGGACTATATCCTCTTTAGGAAGATGTGAGAAGTGTTTTGTCCTCGATGTTAAAGAAAAGTAAATGAATTGTTGAAATGAAAATCTGCAACATCCCTTGTATTTAGAGGTTAGGAGTAACTTTAATGCTGTAGATATTAGCAGAGTTACTTTAATGCTGTAGATATTTGCAGAGTTACTTTAATGCTGTAGATATTAGCAGAGTTAGTTGCTTATTTACCTTCTTTGTTATCTGAATGATTAAGATTATCTGAGTTGAGATTAAATTGAATGTTTGTATATTTCCAGAGTCAGAGGTCATGGGTTGAAAAGACCTTTTACAAGCGCGAGTGCTGTAAATTCATCGCCAGCCTGCGTGATCCGGGCAAGTGAGTAATGCACCTCTGATTTTGTAACAATGATGAACAGTATCTCTTTATCCATCAAAATATCAACCTTGCTGACCACGGAAACATGATGATGTTTGATTTAAAATGGACTGGAAAGAAATGTCAGGTCACAAATCTTCGAAGGGCTGTAGGTCAAGTATCATTGGAATGGGGGGCTGGCTACAGGTCACATCGTTGAGGGTCTTCATGGTCAGATAACTTGGAGGAGTAGGTATTCACATGATGTTCTGTTGACCTTGAATGTGATGTTCAGATAACCTTAGGCTACAGGTCAAACAACCTTGATAGAGTTACAATTCATATTCATTATTACCTGACAACATGTTTGAGACTTTGCTTTGTTCTTTTCACATTACCTGTGTTGACCAGTGTTATAGACACTGACTGGTTTTGGTAAGAATATTCATCTTATTGTTTACAGGTGCTGCTGTGGGCGGAATAAAGACTGGCATGACACGCTATCAAACCTCTATAGTCCCTCCCCTGTCAATGAGAAATGGCATCCCTATGGACACACGCAATCATATCCTACAAATGCATATGGCACCATTGAGTTCCAGGGGGCACCACATCCCAGCAAAGCACAGGTAACATTGTGGAGGCCAAGCAAATGGAAGTGATAAAGAATTTTGGCTCTTCAAATTTTTCCCTCTTCTTTTTAAAAAAAAATGTCCCAGTGTTGAATTTGCTCTCCTGTTGTTTTGTATTGAATTTGAATTGGCTGTTGTAAAAGGGGAAAAGGGAGCTAACATGTCCCTGTTAAAAGCAACCTACACCTGTGTTACGTTATGAACTTAAATAAGGTTTTGAGTTTAGAGAGTAGATGCTACATTCTGGTTTACAAAGTAGACGTAATACATTTTATTTAAGAGAGAATTTTCTACATTCTGGTTTAGAGATTAGATGCTACTTTCTAATTTAAAGGGAATTTTCTACATTCTGGTTTAGAGATTAGATGCTACAGTCTAATTTAAAGAGTATTTACTACATTCTGGTTTAGAGAGTAGATGCTACTTTCTGATTTTGGGAGTATTAACCCTACTTTTCACCGTAGGGAGTAAAGACTTGGTTAAAGATAAAGGAAATTGGCCACAAGAGTATAAAGAGATGATAAATCTTAATTAGGGATAACCTGCATGTGTTGGTTGTTAGTTAATATTGATATAGTTGCAGACAGCCAGAAAAGCTTCTACAATGGAAGTTAATTTCACGTTTTCTGAGAAAGCTACTGTTTATCTGTCTTGGCGGCTCCTGCCTTTGGTCAGCTCTTCTCAACATTTTTGCTGCACGACATTTCAAGAATTTATTTTCATTCGTTAGCACATCATGCAACTGTTATTTTCTAACAGATGCAATTTGTGAAACTAATTTTGTATTTGTGAAATAAAAAGTGTGAATTATTCACTCGCCTAGTAGTATTCTCCATATTGGTTGTAACATAGCTGGAACACTGGTAAAAGCCTACCCAATCAGACGGAGGAGCTTAGCGCGTGTGTGTTTTGGTGATAGAGAGCCTGAGCAGCTTATCAGGCATGTTAGCTGTCAGTCAGCGCCAGGGCTGACTAACAGGACGTGTGCTAAAATGTTGTACTATTGACACCTGAAATTGATGATGACAGTCATATAACGTTGATATTCAATTTATAGGAGGTCCATTACACCGATACAGCTGCCTGACAATCTCACCAACACTTTTAACTACATCACTAGGCTGTTAGTAATACCACTCTTTGTAAATACCTTTTGCGGCGGTTACTGTTGTATTGCAGAGTGAGGCTGATCCCCAATTAAGTCACTTCTTTAAGCAAATTCTTAAACCCGAATAGCATTAAAGCAAATTGTGTAGTAGATATTAAGAAGCCTTATTTATATCTAAGGCAATCTACGTTTAATAGTCCCTCACCAGTGCTATAAGAGGGAACTATACATTTACACTCCCTCCGTCAGTCAGTCGGAATCAGTCCATTTGTCCATGCATTACTTTCTCTTGGGTACACCTCATATACTCTTCCAATTACCAAATTTGTATGTGAACACCATTTTGGATGACGAAGTGTTGTGTATGAAAATGCATCCTCTATCACATTATGCAGAGTTATAGCCCTTTATTGCCCTTTATTCAATTTTTATACCTATGTTTATTTTGAGGTTATAGGACTATCGATTGCTTAATTTACGTATTTGTTTATTTGTTAATTGTTAATTCAAATACAATACAATTCAAAGTTGACATACTAAATTGTTACTCTGATAATACCTCCTGTTGGTATATATGTATGTTGTACATTATATAGTGAGTTATATACGTTACTACTCTGATAATACCTCCTGTTGGTATATATGTATGTTGTAGATCATATAGTGAGTTATATACGTTACTGCTCTGATAATACCTCCTGTTGGTATATATCTATGTTGTAGATCATATAGTGAGTTATATACGTTACTACTCTGATAATACCTCCTGTTGGTATATATGTATGTTGTAGATCATATAGTGAGTTATATACGTTACTACTCTGATAATACCTCCTGTTGGTATATATGTATGTTGTAGATCATATAGTGAGTTATATAC